TACACTAGCCTCTAGTCCACCGAGAGTCAACATCCCACACTACCGGCAAGTCGTAGCCACTCCATTTACAAGTCAACGAGCAGAAAGCCCTAAGCTCCAACGCCCCCCCCCCCCCCCCCGCGGTGCCTGGAGGGCATCTGCGGAGTTGGCCCGGCCTGTTGGTTCCTCTGCGGTGCCGAGAATCCCTGTAACTCACGCAAAGGCACACAGCTGGCTAGTCAGTGGTACGGCCAAGGTTGACTTGAGAATGGGGGTCAGGCTCCTGCCCACCGCACTGCCCAGCTTCCGGCTCGGGACTGGGCGCCGCACTTGGTGAGCCCCCGGTGAGCCTACAGGCATTGGAGCAGGAAGCAGACACCACGCAGGCAGCGCCTGGCAATATTAACCTTTAATGCCGCTACAAGTTCTAGTGTTCTCGACCCATTCGCCTGGTATCAGACACCTGCGGGCAACGCTGAGGGGTGGAGCCGCAGCCTCACTGCTGGCCAAACAGCAGCCTGAGTAGGCTTCCCTGGACCGTCAGGCCGGCTGCGTCCCGCGCAGCTCAGCACGAAGCCCGGGGCGCATCCCCCTCCCCGCCGGATCACGTGCAGTGTGTGGTCTGGCCTGCCGACTCAGGCCTGATGGGCCTGGGGCATGCGCTTCTGCAGGAGCTCCCAGGCCTTCTCCACCTTCGCACACGGAGAGGAAGAGAGCACAGGGTCAGACGGGCACCCGCAGGCCCCCCTCCCGGCCCCCGCCTTCCCTGGGCACCAACCTGGCGCTGCGTGACATGGGGCTCCCACAGCGTGCTCAGCACCACGTGGCTCTGGGCCACGAGCTGCTGCCCGCTCATCTGGCTCTGCAGCCGGCTCTGCGCCGCGGCTTCACTCAGCCCATCCCTCTCCACGATGCGCCGCACGGCCTGTGCCAAAGGCATCGTGGCTCAGCCCGGCGGCCCAGCAGGGTCCCGCCCATGCTGCATGAGGGGGGGAGGGCGAGATACCTCCGTCTCGGGGATGATCACAGTCCACACCTCGTGCACCATGTCCTGCCAGCCGGCCTCAAGCAGCACGGCGGCATCGATCACGCACACACGCTTTCCTGCGGGGACACCCGGCGCTGCCAGTAGCCCTCGCCACCTGACCACCCCCACACAGTCCCAGGGAAAGGAGACGGCTTGGCTGCGGCTGGGACATCCCGGGGTGGGGGGACGGCGGCATCTGTCTAGCCACCCCCCTGGGCTGTCTCCACCACGCTCCACTCACCCTGAGCCACAGCCAGCGCCATCTCCTCCCGGGCCAGCTTGGCGATCAGCGGCCACATGATGTCCGTGAGGGTCTTCAGCTGTTTCTGGAGGTGGACGTGGGAGAGTGGGTGGGCGTGGGGAGAGTGGGCGGGCGTGGGAGTGCCCGTGTGGAGGCGGGCATGGGGAGAGTGGGCGGGCGTGGGAGCGCCCGTGTGGAGGCAGGCGTGGGGAGATGGGCAGGGGTGGGAGCGCCCAAGTGGAGGTGGGCGTGGGAGAGTGGGTGGGCGCGGGAGAGTGGGCAGGGGTGGGAGCCCCCGTGTGGAGGCGGGCGTGGGGAGATGGGCAGGGGTGGGAGTGCCCGTGTGGAGGTGGGCGTGGGAGAGTGGGCGGGCGTGGGAGCCCCCGTGTGGAGGCGGGCGTGGGGAGATGGGCAGGGGTGGGAGCGCCCGAGTGGAGCGTGGCGTCCTGGCCGGATCACAGTCGGAGCCCATCGCTGGGTCCGGGGGCAGCCGAGGGGCCCTGGCCAGGTGTGCGCTCACCTTGTTCCCAAACACGCGGCTGCCCAGCACCTTCCTGTTGATAGTGCCATCTTTATGGAGGATGTCTGGACAGCGGAGATGGAGCCCTGAGCTGGGGGCCTGGCCGGCCCTCCGGGCCAGCCCCCGCAGCCTCCTGAGCCAGTACCTGTGCCAAAGGCTTCCACCACAGGCTGGTAGGCCGGGCCGCCTGGGGCGTAGGCCCGATGGCCCAGCTGGTCGCTGTCGATGATAAAGGCCCCAAGGCCCTTCAGGCGTTTGGCTACGGAGCTCTTCCCGGAGCCGCTGATGCCGGTCAGCCCGAGCACATAGAGACCTGGGGGGAGCTCTGGCCTCTTCTGGAGTGGAGCAGAGTGGCCCGGCCGTCACTAGGGTCCTCGGTTTGGGAGCTGGACCCCTCGATTTCACCCTCCAGCCTTTCCAGCGAACTCAAGCCGGGGGACGGGACTCTTACATTCGGAGGCCGAAGCAGATTTCCCAGCATGCGCTGGCGCAAGCTGGAGGAGCTGACCTTCTCCTCCTCGTGTTCCGCGTGGCTCAGGTCTTTCAGCAGCTGGATCTGGTACAGCGCGAGTTCCTCCAAGTCCTGAGGCGCAGGGAAGGCGCTGAGAGGAAGGCCGGAGCCCGACACCCGACCCACCCCAGCGTCGCCCCCTACCTACCCCGGGCGCCGCCTCCAGCTCTGTGGGCAACGGACCAGGTCCTCCTCGCTGCTTCCCACCACCCTGAGCCCCCTCTTCCCTCCTCTGGCGCCAGGGCACGGCCGACAGCCCCAGCGGCCTTCCTCCACCCCCTCCACGCCCTCTGCCAGGCTCCCCCAGGGGTTACGTTCTCGAGGCGGAAGCGGTTGACGGCCATCCCCCCGCGATAGGTCTCCTCGCTGACCACCAGGAACTCCAGGGAAGGGTCAGAGCCAGCGGGCCCATAGGGGTCCAGCAGGGGGATGACATCAAAAGTCAAGGAGGGCTTGATGTCCACCAGGAACTCACTCAGGTGTCCCACGCGTTCTGCGTAAGGTTGGAGCAGCTCAGGGAGCAGCTTGCCTGGGGGAGGAACCCAGAACAGATCCTTTAATGGGAGGGGCAGTTTTGGGGGGCTGTCTCGGAGCACTGTTCTCCCCACAGGACGGTGGTGGGAAGAGAGGGCTGAACTGCGAGGGTCTTTGGCGCTGGTGATGGACAAACAGGCAAGCGCAGGGCTGGCAACTGTGCAGAGCACAGGCTACCGGGAAGCCACTAGGGGGCGCTCGGAGGGCCAGTGGGCATCCACGGGATGGAGACCTCCAAGGGCCAGGCCCTCCTCCAGCCCTTTCTGTCTGGGACAGCGCTGCCTACGGCCCGCTCATCACGGGTCACCTCCTGGAAGCGGGTAAAGGGCAGAGTCCTCCATTCCACACCGGGGCATTCTGAATGGTGACGGAGGCAGGCCCGCTGGGAAGGCATGGACGGCCCGGCCCTGCCCTGACGCTGGTGTGAGAAGGGACGGGCGGGGGGGAGAGGGTGTGCTCCACCGCCTTAAGCCGGGTCCCTCTCACTCACTTTTCAGCAGATCTTTGTCTGCTACTCCCACCACAAGCTGCTCCTGGGCCAGGACGCACGCGACACTGAGCAGCACCTTGTGGGCATTGTGCAGGCGGTCAAACGTGCCGCCCACGGCCCCTCGGTGGTAGCCGCGCACCGGCTGCTTTGGAGACCGAGCCACGGGGGAAGCTGGTCTGATGGTGGAGGGGAGGGGCACATCCAGGGGCTCCACGGGCAGCTCTCCAGTCCCGTAGTCGGGGCTCAGCAGCACGGAGGCGAGCTGCGGACAACAGCTGTAACAGCTGGTGGCGTAACGCTCCAGCTGCTGCTTAACCGGGTTGTACTGGCTTCCGTCCAGGGTCTGGAAATCAGTCAGCACCACTTCCGGGGGGTGGGCCAGATTCTGGACCGAGCTGGGCTGGGGCGGGAGGAGGGTGCTCTTGGTTTGGATGTTGGTCAGCAGGATTCTCACGTCCAGGTGCCTGTGGACGTCGGCGCCACAGTAGAAGTGCGTGATGAAATCGAGAACCTCGAACGTGGCCTGCACGGGGGTGGACTGGGGCTGGGCCGGGCCCTCCAGGCTCATGCCGGGCTGCAGGTGCACATAGAGTGTGTGATTCACCAGGCGGGAGGCCGAGGTCAGGATGGGAGCCAGGCGAGGGGCCAGCGAGGCCAGCGGCGTCGTCAGTACCAGGAGGCCCGACCGGAATACGGCCATGCTGCCCAGGCCTGCGGACAGGCAGGGAGGCAGGGGAGAGTGACTCAGGGGCCCGGGGCAGGGCCGGGTCCTGGCAGACGGCGCGGTGGCTTCGCTTAAGTGAATCGAAATCCTGGGACGGGGAACCGACCAGGAGCCCCCTGAGTCACAGGGCTGGGGACCCCGAATTCCTGGGCCCTCTTGCTAAGCTGCACCAGGGTCTTCAAGGACTAGAACGAGGGGGCCCAGGCAGGGACGCTCGGGCTCAGGTCGGTCCCCTACTCACTGAACCCTCCGGGGTCCGGTTCTGTTTGCACCGCCACAGAGGCTTCCCCGACTGCGGCCCGGAAGCACTAGCTCAGGAACAGCGGCTCCGCACTACGGAGGAGGAAAAAGGCCAAACAACTCAGCGTCGGGGGCGGAGCGCGGATCTCGCGAGATTGCTCGTGCGCGGAGGCTGCGCTCTGCTGATGGGGCGGGGCTGGACGTGGAGGCTCGTGGGATGGGCGAACCCGGGGTTGGGGGCGCGACTCCCGCGGGGCGAGGCGGCCTGGGACGTTCAATTCGCTGTTTACCGAAGCGGAGCACCCAGATGCATTCAGGTCACAGGGAGGCGCAGGCGAGGCAGAGCCCACACGCGGCTCCTCCGAATTCCGGGGCCCGCTCAGGCCGAGGAACCTCACGTGGGGGCTCCCCATTTCACGGAGGGGAACCTGAAGCCCCCTATGCTGCGGGGGCGTATAGAGGCCAGGTCCCGCGGCCCCTGTCGGATGCTCCGCACCACCCAGCTCCCGCGAGGCGCTGGATGGCGGGGCACGGAGGGAGGCAGGTGCCACGGTCTCATAGGGGATGATTGGCGAGGGTTTCCCGCTAAGCTACTGCGTGCTTAGCGGCTGGTGGTCTGGGGCCAGAGCGGGGAGCCAGGTTGCCGTCAGAAGCCTTTCAGGTGGACGAAACTGATCGCCCAGGTTTCAGTAGCCTTCCCTGGCTTATTTTCTTGAACTACATAAATGCCCACTTTTAGATTTAATTTTGTGTTTGTTTATTTTTAAGGTTTATTTGTTTGGAAGGCAGAGAGATACGGATTTTCCACCCACTGGTTCATTCCCCAAATGGCCACAACGGCCATGGCTGGCCCAGGCTGAAAGCAGGAGGCCGGACCACAGTGGAGGCGGCCCTGGGGGGCTTTGCAATCTGGTGCTCCTTGGCTGGTTTGAGCTGACCGGAACTAGGAGGAGTCCAGCTCCGGTCCTTTTGTGTCTGGAGCACACACACAGCGTGTGTGTGATTGTAGTTGTAACACAGCGTGCTCGTGGAGCGAGACGATGACTCTCTGGGTGACAGAGAGGGGTGCCTGTGACCGTTAGGTCTGCCGCACCAAGCAGATTGTGCCTGGGGATACAGAACAGCCGTGACTGCCTGGCTGGGGCTGTGTGTCCCACGGTGGGTGTGGACCGTGTGGCTCTGTGTGCAGCACTGTGTGTGCAGGAGTTGGAGATCTGTGACTCTTCTATGGGGCGCCAAGATCTTAGCCATTTCTTCTCTTACAGCAACAAAGAAGAGGAAAGAATGATTCGTAAGCATCTCATGTCCGGGGTGGAGGGTGGGAGATGAGGTCAGGAAGGAGACCTTGGGGAGAAATGGGAAGCTGAGATGGGAAGCTGCAGAAGTGTCTTGAGCAGAGTCATGATCAGACTTTGATTTTTAACCAAGATTGTTGTTTATTTGTTTTTGTTTTGTTTTGTTTTTGACAGGCAGAGTGGACAGTGAGAGAGAGACAGAGAAAAAGGTCTTCCTTTGCCGTTGGTTCACCCTCCAATGGCCGCCGTGGCCAGCGCGCTGCGGCCAGCGCACCACGCTGATCCGATGGCAGGAGCCAGGTACTTATCCTGGTCTCCCATGGGGTGCAGGGCCCAAGCACCTGGGCCATTCTCCACTGCCTTCCCGGGCCACAGCAGAGAGCTGGCCTGGGAGAGGGGCAACCAGGACAGAATCCAGCGCCCTGACCGGGACTAGAACCCAGTGTGCCAGCGCTGCAAGGCGGAGGATTAGCCTAGTGAGCTGCGGCGCCGGCTCTGTTGTTTATTTGAAAGGCAGAGTTTTAGAGAGGGGGAGAGAGAGAGAATCTTCCATCTGCTGGTTCACTCCCCAAATGGCCCCAACAGCCAGAGCTGGACTGATCCGAAGCCAGGTGCAGGAGCCTCATCCAGGTCTCACATGTGGGTGTGGGGGCCCAAGGACTTGGGCCATCTTCCACTGCTTTCCCAGGCCACAGCAGAGAGCTGGTTCAGAAGTGGAGCTGCTGGGACACGAACTGGTGCCCACATTGGGTGCCAGCATCGCAGATGGCAGCTTTACCCACCAGGCCACAAGCCAGCCCCCAGACTTTGATTTAAAATATGTATATATACATATATACATATATATATATGTATGTATGTATTATTTGAAAGGCAAGAGAGACCTCCCATATGCTGGTTTACTCCCAATATGCTTCCAACAGCGAAAGCCAGGAGCCAGGAGCTCCATCTGTGTCTCCCAGGTCAGTGACAGGGGCCCAAGCACTTGGACCATCTTTCACTGTTTTTGGAAGCTGAGCAGCCAGAACTTGGACTGGCATCCAGCATGGGCTAGAGGCCTCACTCTGGCCTCCAGACTTGGATCTTTAAAAGGTCATTCTGACTGCACTGCGATCAGGATGGACCCAGACAAACAAGAGGCGATGGCAAAATCCAAGAGCGAGAGCGAGCGAGTGAGCTGACAGTGCTGGAAATTGGTGACTTCGCAGTCGGCACTGAAGAGCTGTCAGTGCGCGCCGAGACGCAAAGCGTCACCCCAGGGTTTGCTGCAGGAGAGGGGTTCTCAGAGGTGGGAAGACTGGCAGGGGTGCAGATAGGGTTGGAGGTCAGGGACTGGGTTTTTTGGTTTTGTTTTGTTTTGAATCTGAGAGAGCTCCCATCCTCTCACTCACTTCCTGGATACTGGCAACAGCCAGGACTGGGCCACGCCAAAGCTGGGAGCCCGGAGCCAGGAAATCAATCCAGGTCTCCTCTCTGGGCGGCAGGGACCCAACTACTTAAGCCATCACCTGCTGCCTCCTCGGGTGACCATCAGCGGGAAGCTCAAATGGGGCACACAGCTGGGACCTGCGTCCAGGAACTGCCATACGGAATGCAGGGCTCACAATTGGCATCCAATGGCCAGGCCAAACTCCCAGGCCAGGAAGTGGGATCTGGACGCGTGGAGTTGATTAAGCATCAAGTGGAGCAGGCAGCTGGTGTGGAAACAATGGCTTGGAACTATGAAGGTACCGCAAAAGCTCATGGGAAAAACAAAATTAAAAGGTAAGTTTATTTGGTGCAAAAAAAAAAAATGAAGTCCATGTATTTTTTTTTCATAGTATGCATTTTCTTAAAGACCTTTAAAAATTTGAGAGGCAGAGTTACAAAGAGAAAGAGACAGAGACAGAGAGAGAGGTCTTCCATCTGCTGTTTCATTCCCAAAAGGCTGCAATGGCCAAAACTTGGTCTATCTGAAGCCAGGAGCCAGGAACTTCCTCCAGGTCTCCCATGTGGGTGCAGGGGGCCAAGGACTTGGGCCATCTTCTACTGCTTTCCCAGGCCATAAGCAGAGAGCTGGACCAGAAAAGGAGCAGCCAGGACACAAACTGGCACCCATATATGATGCTGGTGCCGCACGTGGAGGCTTAGCTCACTTTACCAGTGTCAGCCCCATAGTATGCATTTTCCGTGAACTTTTTGATGACCTCTCACATGTGGAGGGTTTTTTGGTAATGTTGAAGTCGTCAGCAGCTAAGTGGTCCTCAGTCATGTGGGCTGCCATTGTGGCCCAGTGGGTGAAGCCACCATCTGCAATGCCAGCATTCAAATCAGAGTGCCTGGATTGAGTCCCAGCTACTCGGCTTCTGATACAGTTCCTTGCTAATGTGCCTGCCAAGGCAGTGGAAGATGGTCCAAGTGCTTGGGCCTCTGCACCCACGTGGAAGACCTGGTTGGAGTTCCTGGCTCCTGGCTTCAGCCTGGCTCAGATCTGGCTATTGTGGCTGTCTGGGGAGTGAACCAGCAGGTGAAAGACCTCTGTGTGTCTCTCCCTCTTTCTGTATTGCTCTAGCCTTCAAATAAAATAAAGTATGACTGTATCAAGAGTGGGGTCACTCGGGGCTGTGGTGCAGCGGGTTAATGCCCTGGCCTGAAGTGCCGGCATCCCATATGGGTGCCGGTTCTAGACCCGGCTGCTCCACTTCCGATCCAACTCTCTGCTGTGGCCTGGGAAAGCAGTAGAAGATGGCCCAAGTCCTTGGGCCTCTGCACCCACGTGGGAGACCCAGAAGAAGCTCCTGGCTCCTGGCTGCAGATCAGCGCAGCTCTGGCCATTGTGGCCAATTGGGGAGTGAGCCATCGGATGGAAGACCTCTCTCCCTCTCTCTCTCTCTCTCCCTCTCTGCCTCTCCTCTCTCTGTGTAACTCTGACTTTCAAATAAATAAATCTTAAAAAAAAAAAAAATGGGATCACACTTTGCCTTGCTACTCCGGCCCCCAGGGGTCACACACACAGCACAGGGAGCCAAGGGGGGTAGGGTAGGCTCTGAGAGCAGACCTCATGGCTCAGAAATTCACACCACCTTGGTCCTCTCTCTGGCCCCTGGCCTTCCGGGTGGACCGCGGGTACATCCGAGCCAGTAGGACAGGGATGCTAACGGGGTAGGGTGGCTGGGAGGCCGCGTTCTCCAAAGCAGAGGTCCAGAAGGGACCCTCCTCTGCACTGCAGGCCTGAGGGCCGTGCCTGCCTCCCGGAACCCCATTAGGTTCCTCTGCATTCCCCATCCCGAGCTCTGTGGCCAAGCCTTTGCAGGGCAGAAGGCCGTCCCCACTCATCCTGTTAGATAGACTCCCCACCCCCAACCTGGGGCACTCCTGCCGCTTCCGTGGCCCCGCAACCTCCTCCTCCCCTCTGACCTCGGGCGGGCGGCCAGGGTGGGCACAGCCTGTACCAATGACTCCTCCCCCCCACAGGCTCAGGGAGGAAGATAAACGGATGGGGCAGGCCAGCCAGGCCTGGGCCCCAGCTGCACCTCCCAGGAGAGACTGGTCGCGGTGGGAACACAGCAGGAACACTATACCGGGAGTAGTAACCACGCCGTCCTCTATTCTGGGGGCAGGGTGCCCGTTAGCACTCCGGGGTCCACACATCATGGAATACCTGGATCTGATTTTCGCTCTGCACCCCAGGTTCCTCTTAATGCAGGCCCTGGGGGCGGTGGTGATGACTCCAGCGATTGGGGAGACTTGGAATGCGCTTGCAGCTCCCAGCTCCTGCCAGTTCAGTCCTGGCTGCTGCCGGCATTTCGGGAGTGAACCAGCCGGAGGGCGGCTCTCTGTGCCTCTCGATGACCAGGTCAGGCCTGTCTACCGAGCTCTTTCAGGCTGTATCTCGCTACAGCTTCCGAGAGGTATTAAACGCATTGTGCAGATAAGAAAGTGGATTCAGAGAGTCCAGACGGCCTAGGATCCCAGGGTTCCTGAGGGCCAGGTCACGGCGCGATTCCTGCCCACCCCCACTCGCCACTCAAGTCCTCCGAACTCCTTCCTGCGCTGTGGGCTGCCTGGGGTCTCCCGGGTCTGCCGTGGACTCGAGGCGGGACCCCGGGCGGGCTCCTTCCCCTTCCCAGGCCTCGGTTTCCGCGCAGGTGTAGCTGGGGCTAACGTGATCCAGGCAGCCGCCACCTCGCCCCGCCCACGGGACCGCACGATTGGGAGCCAAGCAGGGCGCGGGAGCGCACCGCAGACCAAGCCTTTATTACGGGGCGGCGGGAGGCGCGCCGGGCTCGGGGTCCCCAGGGCCTTCGGGGCCGGCCTCGGCGCTCTCGGCGGCGAACACCGCTTGGTGCATGGCGGCGACGTAGTTGCAGCCGCTGGGGTCGTCCAGGCGCAGCCGCGTCAGGGGCAGGAAGCGCTCGGTGCTGAAGTAGCGCAGGGAGGGCTCCGGGGCGCGCAGCGCGGTGAGGAAGACCTGCGGCGGCGGTAGGAGCAGCGCTGGCCCGGGCGGCGCGCAGGGCCCCGCGGGCCGCCCGCGCCCCGGCACGCCGGTACCCACCTCCGTCACCTCCTCGGGGTCCTGCCCCGTCTCGCGGAAGACCTGCTCGTAGTGGCGCTCGTAGCGGGAGTAGAGCTGACGCGTCTGGGCGTCCGCGCGGTCCAGGGCCCCTCCGGGGCCGCCCTCCAGCTTCTCCAGGAAGGCCGTGTGCACCGGACCACACTCGATGATGCTTAAGCTGTGGGTCAGGAGGCGAGGGGGGCGAGTGCACGCGGGCTGCGCACGCGAGCCCGCGCCCGGCTCCGAGCGCGCCTCCGGGATGCGTGCGCGCAGGCGGCGGGCGCTCGAAACCGCTGGGTCGGCGCTCCCACGGCCGTTCGAACCTGGCCGGGCACTGACAGCCGCGTGACCCAGCCGCTCTGGACCCGCGCTTCCCCGCAGCACGACTGACAGACGTGCTAGCTTGCTAGACCCGCACGTGGGCGCAAGACGAAGCGCGCTCAGTGCCCAGCACGGCGCCTGGCACCAAGTGAGAGCCGGGGCAGGGATTCCCCCCTCCCAGCCCGGTCCCCGTAGGACTGGTGCTCCGGGGGCTCCGGGGGCTCAGGGGGCGCGGGGCGCGGGGGGCGGGTGGTAGCGACTCACTGGACCCCGAAGGGCGGCAGCAGAATGGCCAGGCTCTCGCATAAACCTTCGATCGCGAACTTGCTGGCGCAGTAGACGTCGTTGAAGGGCAGCCCTTGGAGGGGAGAGGGCGATTGCGAGAGGGGACCGCTCGCTAGCTGGAGGCGCCCGCGGCAGCCCCGCCCCAGCGAACCCCAGCTCCAGGTCCCGCCCGCCATCCCAGGGCCCCGGCCACCCGCTCACCCATCAAGCCGCCCACGCTGCCGGTCACCAGCACGCGACCAGAGCCGCGCCGCTTCATGTCCGGCAGGAAGGCTTGCAGCGTCCGCACCAAGCCGACCACGTTCACATCCAGCACGGAGGCGACGGTGTCCGCCGAGTGCGCCTCCAGCGGCCCGAGCAATCCCCGACCCGCGTTGCACACTGCAGGGAGAGGGGTCCAAGTCTGTCCCCTAGTGCTCCGTGGGCTCACTCGGGACATCCTGGCTGGGACACAGGCTAGGGGAGGCTCACCCAGCACATCCACGCGGCCCTCAGTCACACGTGTCCGGGCGGCGGCCACAGAATCCGAGTCCCTTACGTCCAGCTGCAAGGTCTCCAGGGAGCCGGGCTGGCACCCCCGGGCTCGGGCTGCCTCCAGCAGTGGGCCCTGCGCCCCCAGGTCCCGCAGGGTGGCGTACACTGCAGGTTCAGGGAGAAGCTGCAGACCCGAACACCCTGCCTCCCTCCGGACTCTCCCCCTCTCAGCCCTGCTCCTCATATACCTTTGAAGCTCTGGGATGGGTCCGAGGCCAGGCGGACGGCCAGGTGCAGGCCGATGCCTGAGGAGCAGCCCGTGATGAGCACCACAGTGCGGTCCATGGGCGGCCGGTGGACAGAGTCCCCGAGGGCCAGGAGCACTCCCAGGATATCTAGGGCTTTGCCCCGCCCTCTGCGGGTGGGGACCCCACCCCTTGTTGTGTCTGCAGGGCGGTCTCAAGGCTGAGCAGAGGCCCCCTCCCTGCCTTGGTCTGCTCTGGGTCAGAGATGAGGCCGCTGTTGGGGGCACCACTGTCCCAGCTGTGGGCGGAGGGGAGGGGGGCTTTGCAAATGGGTGTGGGTCCCCCTGTGAGCACCCTCCCCGCCAGGCAGATCTCCTGGGCATGCCGCTGTCCCACAGGGACAATGACAGCTATAGTAGTCACCGCGCTGTCCCACAGGGACAATGACAGCTATAGTAGTCACCGCCAAGCCTGTATATGTAAATGCTTTGGAAAGGCATTCTTCAGGGTCAGGAGATCAAAGGTCAGAGGTTAGTATTGAAAATGGTGAAGGGTCCAAGACTGTGGCTTTAATAGGCTAAGCTTCTGCCTGCAGCCCCGACATCCCATATGGGTGCCAGTTTGTGTCCCGACTGCTCTACTTCCTATCCAGCTCTCTGCTATGGCCTGGGAAAGCTACAGAAGATGGCCCAGGTCCTTGGGCCCCTGCACCCACGTGGGAGACCTGGAAGAAGATTCTGGCCCCTGGCTTTGGATGGGCTCAGCTCTGGCCACGGTGGCCATTTGGGGAGTGACCCAGCGGATGGAAGACTTTTCTCTCTGTTTCTCCCTCTCTTTATCTGTAACTCTGCCTCTCAAAGAAATAAATAAAATCTTTAAAAAAAAAATGGTGAAGCGGAGGCAAGGGCTGGGAGGACTGGCCCCCAAGGCAGGGCCCCTCTATAGCCCCGAGTCCTCCACGTGATCCCGTTCTGATGGACTGCTCATCAGTTTATTCAGCAGGTAGAAACAGCCGCTCGCCCCCAGCTCTGGGCTGGTGAGGGAGCGAGGTTCGTGTCCCGCCAAAGCCCTCTGAGCCCACCCACAGCCCCAGGTTCCGGAGACCTGCTCCTGCCTGCAGTCTGAGGTCGGCCACGGCTCAGGGCTGGTTCATCCGTCACAGAGAGCCAGCCACCTTCCGGGGAAAATACTTGAGGAAGATCTTCTGGGCCAGGTCCACGGTGTCGCCCTGGGGCTGGGTGGGGTACCTCCGGGAGCTGAGGACGAAGGCTTGCTCCAGCCGGAAGACCAGCTTGTCAAACAGGCGCTGCTGGAAGGGGACGCCCCGGGCCAGGCTGTCCGCCAGGGCCTCCAGAAAGAGCTGCCAGCGAGGGCTGTAGTACTGGGCCACCAGGCCGGCCAGCTGCTTGTTGGCATAGTCTAGGATGTTCCCCTCCGGCCCCCACAGTGTCAGCTGGAAGCGGCTGTTCTGCTCATAGAGCTGGGCCTCGGCCTCACTGGCCGCCGCGGCCCGGGCCTGCTCCAGCCAGCTGCCCAGCAGGAAGCGGCTGTCGGTGGCCAGCACCCGGTCCAGCGCAGGTAGCAGCTCATAGGCCAGGACGCCTCCGGCCCTGAGCAAGGTCGCCAGCTCCTTGTGCAGGTAGGCGGTCCTCGCCTCCTCGTAGTACAGGCTGACCAGCTCCTGCACCGCCTGGCGAGTGACGTCCAGCAGGTCATAGCGAAAGGCTGGGCTGGAGGCCAGGGTTGGGGTGGCTTTGAGCAGCAGCCGCCAGGCCTCAAACACATCTGAGCGGTTGTACCAGACAGTGGTGTTCAGCTGTAGGGACGGCCGCCTGACCAGTGGGCTGCGGTTGTGCCCCCTGCAGGCGTCACCGGAGCAGTTGTAGACACTCCGAAGCAGCAGCCTCCACGCCGCCCCTGCGTCCGGATGTGCGACCCCGTACCGCCGGCCCGCGAAGCTGGTCACCCAGGCCTCCAAATCGGGCACCGGCTCCTTCCGCCAGCCCAGCTCAGCCATCAGGGCATAGACCACTTCGTTCTGGCTGATGCCCTCAGGGGCTATGCCCGTGCCCACCATGGTGGAGTTGGGGAAGAGGCGGGCAGCCGCGGGGCCCCGGTTCACGGCCTCCAGGGCTCCAAACAGGCCGTGGTTGCCCCCGAAGTTATGTAGCATGCACCAGATGAAGGGCTGGCCCTGGAAGGAGGCGGTGCGGGTGTACACGGGCTGGTTCTCAGCGAACAGATCCAGGACCAGGAGGCGGCCACGCGGCACAGCGTTCAGCACAGCCTTGACCTGGCTGGGCCCCCAGAACTGGGGCTGGTGCTGGAAGAGCCAGCCCTGGAGCAGCCACACAGCATCGGGGTCCACTGCAGTGAGGGGGGGGGACACAGAAGAGGAGATGAGAGGAGCGGGGCCGGGAGAGGATTTGCCCATTCTACTGATGAGGAAAACAGACCCAGAGACAAAGGGAGGAAAGCGGACCCCTCCCCCAACACTGACCTTGAAAAGTGGCTGTTGGCAGTTGACCAGTAAGGCAGCTGCCCGCCGTGATCCTGTCTAGGGAGGCAAGATGACCTAAGTTCTGCTTTCTGTAACTCCAGTCATAAATCTGTCCTGGGAATCTGCCCTTGGTCTCTCTTATAGACACACAGGACACACTGACCATTGGAAGTGTGGTCCTAAGTCACGTAGGTTCAAGTGAAACGACCTGCTGGACGTCACTCGCCCATGCTGTAATGGCTGAGGTATGGTGCTGCCGAGCCTACAGACGTTGTAAGGAACTTGGGCTTGTTGCTCGGTTCTTGGGAAGTGATTCCAGCCGAGCTCGCTGGTGTTAATAAACTGCTCTGGATCCTCCACTGTCTCTGGTGCCTGTCTGAATGGAGTTTTCCCACCCCAGGTTTCCGCAACACACGGGCCTCAGGGCCACCCACAGGGCTTGTTGTAGCACGGGTTCCAGGGCCCCAGCGTCTGGATCTTCTGCGTGAGGAGGTCTGGGGCAAGGCCCAAGGGTCTGCCTGTGTGACTGCTGCGGCTGGAGTGTGCTGCCCAAGCGTTTATATGTCGAAAGTTGATCCCCACTGCGAGGCCTCAGGAGGGTAGAAACCGAATCTGACCCTGCGGTCTAGAGGGGAGACCTTCAGACGGTGGCTGGGATTAGACACGGCCGTTGGGGGAAGCCACAGCACCGAATCCTGGTGGCTTCATAAGCAGAGCCCAGAGGAAGCTGCTGTGCTCACCCCCGGTCCCTCGGCTCGGGGCTGCGCTGCACCGCTGCAGGGCTCCCTCAGCACCAAGGCCAGCGCCAGGTGCGCCCTGCCCTCGGACCGGACCCTCAGCCACAATAAACCTCTTTTCTTCATACAGCCCACGGGCATCGGTTACTTCGTTATGGTAACAACACAGGCCAATACAGAAAATTGGCACTAGGGAGTGCAGCCATTACTGTAAGCACACTTGAACAGGTGGGGCCGGCTCAGGCCAAGCCTGGAAGAGCTGGGAGGAGCAGGCTGGGCAAAATCTAGAATGCTGTGTGCAGAGTACTGAGGGCTCAGAGCAGGAGACTAGGCAGCCAGCCTCAGATGGACACCGGGACTCGACTAGAAACCTAGGGAATGGTCACCCTTGTTACATTGGTGCAAAGCACCCTGCATTGTGTCCATGAGAAGCCACACTCAAGGTGAGACTCCCAGCAAAAGCAGCAGGCCCCCCGCCTGCCACACCCGCAACCCATATGGGCACTGGTTTGAGCCCCGGCTGCTCCACTTCCAATCCAGCTCCCTGCTAATGCACCTGGGAAAGCAGCGGAAGATGGCCCGAGTGCTTGGGACCCTGCCACCCATGTGGGAGACCCAGAAGAAGCTCCTGACCCCTGGTTTCAGCTTGGCCCAGCCCTGGTTTTTGTAGCCATTTGGGGAGGGAATCAGAGGCTGAAAGAGTTCTCTCTAACTCTGGCTTTCAAATAAATAAATAAAATATTTTTAAAAAGAAGAAAGAGGAGCAGAAAGCTTGGGAAAGTTCGTAGCCTGATGGACAGGAATGTGTCCACTCACAGATTGCTACAGAGATAAACAGGAATAGCAGCCATCAAACACACAAACCCAAGACCGCAGGAGCATCGCAGAAATCTGCAAGGCAACCCCTCCCATCCCAGGCCTGCCTGAAGATGTGTCAGGGCGGGGCCCAGGCACCCTCACACGCCCGCCCGGGCTGCCGATTCTGAATTTGAGGCAAAGTGCTCCACCGCCTACAGTGGCCTCCAGTCAGCCCTGCCCAGCACCACGGGGCATCTGTGCGGTGCTTGTTCGGCAAGGTCGTGGTCCCTGGCGGGCGGTGCCCCGTGGAGCTCTGGGAATGCAGCAGGGGGCTCTGAACTGTACCGCTTCCACCAGCACGCAGGCAGCACGCAGAACCCACCTGTGTAACCCAGGTCAGCGGGGCCCTGGGAGCACAGGATGCCAGACGGGCGCCGTGGGATCCAGTGTCTGCCCTGCTGGCTTTCGCTCTTGTTTGGGATCAATTATTCCTGCCTGCTCCCCTCCTCCTTCCTCGTGGAACGGGAGTGTCTGCGTGGCACCTGCCCCACCGTGTATCTTGCTTGCTGTTTTATGTTTCACAGACCCACAGCAGAAAGATCGCCTTGAGTCTCAGATGATGAGACTTGGGCATTTACAACTTTTTTTTTAAATAAAAACACATAAAAATCGTACACATCTCTGGGGTTGGACTTTTGGGTGAATGCCTTAGGATGGCTTGGATGGAGTGAGTGTGTGCCGTGTGTCAGAACAACTTGAATGTCAGGGAGCCAGCGGCCAGATGCTCCGCTCTGAGGATGCGCCGTCCCCTCCTGAACTGGCGCTGGGCTTGGATCCACTGTCAGCTATTAAGAGGGTGGGTGGCAGGTGGGAGACCCAGAAAAACTCCTGGCTTCGGCCTGGCCCAGCCCCGAATGCTGAGGCCAGCTGGGGAGTGAGCCAGAGGATGGAAGACATTGTTTTTCTCTCTCTTTCTCTCTGCTTTTCAAGTAAAAAAATAATAAATGGGGGCAGGGCAGGGCAGGGGGTGGCACTGATGCCGCTCGTTCTGGGCCATGCTCAGCAGTCTGGCAGGGACAGCTAAGGAGTTCATTGGGAAAGAAAAAGGCACTTCCAGAGTTAGAAAATTAAAAATCTGTCTCCTGCCTGCTTGAGAACCTGCTTACTTATGATTATACCCCCCCCCAAAAAAAAAACCCACAATAGGTCATACTGGAAGAAACTCCTGTCACAAAAGTTAAAAATGACCTGTTTTTCTTTTTTTTTTTTTTTTTAAGGATTTATTTATTTTCTTTGAAAGGCAGAGTTACAGAGAGAGAAAAAATCTCCCATCTGCTGGTTCACTCCCCAAATGGCCACAACAGCTTAGGCTGGGCCAGGCCAAAGCCAGGAGCCAGCAGCTTCATCTGGGTCTCCCACATGGGTGCAGGGGCCCTGGGACTTGGGCCACCTTCCACTGCTTTTCCAGGTGCATTAGCAGGGAGCCGAGTTGGAAGTGGTGCAGCTGGGACTCGAACTGCTGCCCATGTGTGATGCCGGCATTGCAGGCGGCAGCTTCACCTGCTCTGCCACAGCGCCGGCCCCCATGACTTGTTTTTCTAACACAGCTGTGATCTGGGAAGACTATCTGGACACAGGCATCCCCCCCAGGTTCAGGACACTCCACAGGGATAGCTAACCTGAGATAAAATTCCTTAGCAAGCGACTAACCTAAGTGAGATCCTGGGAAATACATGTTTATCTCACAAAGGACAAAACCGGAAAGGCCACACATGGGGCAAAAACAGCCCCGAGTGAGATCAAGA